TTATAAAGCCCATAACTACACATATCCGTATTGATCTAAACGGATTTACAGTCATCCCATAATACTATTAAATCAACTACAACGTCACTTAGCAATACAGACAAGCGAGTAATTAAACACAAAAGCTTCCTAATTGAGCTTCATCCTCAAAGTCCTTCATTTACCTACAATGGGATTATCATAAACGACACACAAAACAAAAGGGAGTAAGTCATTAGTTTAAAAACTAACATCACATGATAATCCACATTTCAAATACGATTAAACTTTAATATAAATTATAAACGCAATTACGTAAATGCAAACATTCATCTCTTCTTTCGTTCATTTCTACGTTATCCATATTCATCCTATAGAATACATATCCCATAATATATATTCTATAGCATGCATATTATGTTCATTCGAAGCATCGTTCTTCTCATTATTCATATCCACACTATAGTATATATATATCCCATACTATATATCTTATAGCATGTATATTACTTTTATCCTTAACGTCTTCATTTCCAACATTCATATTCACCCTATAGTATATATATCCCATAATATATATCCTATAGCATGCATATGACTTTCGCTCTTAACGTCTTTGTTTCTCATATGTCGTATTCATCATTAATCGTATTCACCGAGTTCTTTCACACTATAATCTCCTACCACCTCGGGTAGATCCAATTACATCTCCATACCACATCGGGTAGGTCTAGTTCACCATCCATACCACATCAGGCAGGTCTAGTTCATCATCCATACCACATCGGGCAGGTCTAGTTCATCATCCATACCACATCGGGCAGGTCTAGTTCATCATCCATACCACATCGGGCAGGTCTAGTTCATCATCCATACCACATCGGGCAGGTCTACTGTTATATTCCATACCACATCGGGTAGGTCTAGTTATACTCCATACCACATCGGGCAGGTCTAGTATTATATTCCATACCACATCGGGTAGGTCTAGTTTTATGCTCCATACCACATCGGGTAGGTCTAGTGTTATGCTCCATACCACATCGGGTAGGTCTAGTGTTATGCTCCATACCACATCGGGTAGGTCTAGTGTTATACTCCATACCACATCGGGTAGGTCTAGTTATACTCCATACCACATCGGGCAGGTCTAGTTATACTCCATACCACATCGGGCAGGTCTAGTAATACTCCATACCACATCGGGCAAGTCTAGTTATACTCCATACCACATCGGGTAGGTCTAGTATTATATTCCATACCACATCGGGTAGGTCTAGTGTTATGCTCCATACCACATCGGGTGGGTCTAGTGTTATGCTCCATACCACATCGGGTAGGTCTAGTGTTATACTCCATACCACATCGGGTAGGTCTAGTTCACAATTCTTCACTACCATTCCCGGTAGGATAACAATAACAGTCCACTACCACTCCGGGTAGGACACAACAACAGTCCGCTACCACTCCAGGTAGGACACGATAACAGTCCGCTACCATTTAAGGTAGGACACAATAACAGTCTACTACCACTCCGGGTAGGACACAACAAAAGTTCACTACCACTCCGGGTAGGACACAATAACAGTCAACCACTACCTCTTCGAGTAGGGTAACAACAATCAAACTTACAACACATTATCTCTTTCACATACCTCGTTCACATCAGTGAGTATGAATTAGAGCCACTTATCCCTTACCTCGGTGAGCGTTGGAGATCAATTCCGAGTAACTTTAAAAGTCTACTCCGCGATTTCCTCCAACCTTAGGATCTTTCCTCATTTCCACAATAACAACAATGTTAGTCATTTATTCCAAATATCACATAAACAACTTATTTTACATCATTTAATCATACAAAATATTCATCATCAATATTCAACCATCTAAAACATGCATAACATCTCATATTTCAATATTTCCAAAACTACTTCAATACAAGTTTCTAAATATCAAAGCATACATGTTCATCTCATATAACAATATTAAAGCACTACTCATTATCCACATCTAACATTTCATCTCTTTCTCTTTATACTCATATTCTCATTTTGGGGTTTTTGGGGTGTTTTTCATGAATAACCCATAAAACTTTCCATTCATCAAATACCAACTCTAAACCAATAGTTTACAAGATAAAAACAACATAAAACGAACCATAACTCTAAAGGATGAGTTTCCATGGTTTCTCATGTTTTGAAAATGAATCCAACATACCCAAAACAAGTTAGAGAGGAAGAAGAAGAGTTAGTAACAAGAGGTTTACCTCTTCTCAAGCTCCAAGATGAGTCCTAAGGCTCCTTGCTCTTGAAAAGCTCTCCTCTCTCTCTTCTCTTCGAAGTTCTAACCCTAAAATGTGTTTAGGTTTCTGTTTTAAAGAGGTGTCGTCGGGTTGTAATCGATTACCAACATTGTGTAATCGATTACAACGTGAAAAATGCGCATATCTGATGCTTTTAATACGATGTAATCGATTACCACGAGTGTGTAATCGATTACCAGCAGAGTGTAATCGATTACCAGCAGAGTGTAATCGATTACCAGCAGAGTGTAATCGATTACCAGAATTGTGTAATCGATTACCAGCAGTGTGTAATCGATTACCAGAATTGTGTAATCGATTACACTGTGTCAGATGCACATATCTGATGCTTTTAATACGATGTAATCGATTACCAGCAGTGTGTAATCGATTACACTGTGTCAACAGCCCAAAATTGCCATTTCTCGCCCAGGCGAGACAACTCTCGCTCAAGCGAGACTTCCAGGACTGTTACTATAATTTTAAAGATTAAAATTTGGGGTGTTACAATCCTCCCCCTCTTATAAAAATTTTCGTCCCCGAAAATTAAACATACCTTGGAAAATAAAATCATCACCTAGACCGAAAATTAAACATACCTCGGAAAATAAAATCATCACCTAGACCTTAGACACAAGAATATTCAACCAAAATCACAATTCGATTCTCTAATCCATTAAGATTACTTAATCAGTCACCAAGGGCATACACCACTAAACCATGATATCACCAAACCAATTCATGAACTAACTCCTCAATGTCCAAATATTAAGATCCTAGCCTCGAACAACATTGAATACCATGAGAACTAAACCATAATTCAGACTAAAGATCTTTTCTACATTTTTCAAGAACCATAGGTACCCATCACATATTCATCTATCAATCCTAACATACGTTAAGAATCCTGATAACACTCTCGAATTTCAGCGAATGGGGAACCCCTTATCCCATATCTATCTAAATGCATCTTTTAACATCCATCATACACTAGCTAGTCTCATCTCCACTCGAGACTCTAGCACAATTTCATTTTACTATCCACAAAATACTTACACAATAGAATTATTAGTGTAATTGTCTAATCTCATCCATTGTACACAATCAAACTATTCAGTAATTGTCTAATTACATAAAATATTTCTACCATCAAATCTTATCGTCTAAAGAAATTACCGATTTCTAGCCTCCACTGAAACCATAAAACCATTGATTCACACCAAAACTAGGTATTCTGTTACCAATCGGCAAGCACAAGTCGACCAACACTCAAACCTACAACTTGCGTTTGGTTTGGTCACCCCAATTCCGTTAGTAAATATAAACTTATTAACCCACTCGCATTATGTCCAGAAATACATGGGCGTCTCATATCACTAAACTTTTAACAACCTCATACTTATTCCGATATGGTTGCTAAAATTTCGGAATTCTCCAACATGATACTAAATCATTACTTAGGCACAAGCTAAGTTTTCCCAAAAATGATTTTCGAAAGCGGTTTGAATCCACGACTCATGGCAACCACGTCGTGAAACAAGGTTCGCACGCTCATTTCGACACAACCCAAAACTTCTTCTCTCCTATGGTTACACCACACCCATACACCGCAATTACGGACGTTCACGAAACAACAACAACTTTTGCCGGTACACATTCAACGCAGACAATTTCGGATCACCACCACTATTTCATGCGTTGCCAATGTCCTACCGCAAAAGAACCGGTCATTCGAGACCAAAAGTTTCACGTCTAATAAAATGTATTCCTCACATCGACGGGGTAAGTAACTCGACTAGCCTCTTTCCTCGACTATCAGTATAAATCTTACCCCCTTAGCATACACATACATATCAATGCATACTAAATTTAAATATTCACCTCAACAATTACACACAGTTAAACATAACACGATTTGCTGACCGCTAGTCCATTTCCAGGATTAAATCCAACTGGACGTCATTGCGCATACCAACACTATAGTAAAGGTTTTACCATTTACTCCAACCGTACACTGAGACATCCACACCGACATCCACCACCGATACACGGGGTTGGTGGGTACAACTAAGTCGAAAACAACAACTTGGTGTACAATCTCAGTAGGTTCACGCATTCCGCAAATATAGGGAGTGTGTCGCTCCCGAATTAAACAACACTAAAAGTGATACCTGTCACCATGCGTTTACCTCTCGCCGGATCATCAACACCCGATGTCCCTGCGCCACTTGGGGTAACCATCCAACCGTGGTCCCTTGCCACCCCAGCATGCATGACATTAGGTCTCCGATCCAGCTTGGGACAGAGGAGCCTGGACCTGGAGCCACGCTCCGATCCAAATTTCGTAAGTTTCCATTCATGCCCTGAAGCACCTCTAACATCTGTGCCAAGAGATCATCGGAAGTATTCTGGCTCGTTTCTCTTCCTCTTTCAGCCATGCGTACCTGCACTCACATACTTGTCAGTAGACTAATTTTATAACCAGACAAGCATCACATAAACACACAACTGTCAATGCTAACCAAGCAGTTCAAGCACATAAAGATCACAAAGAAGCATGTAAGGCCATATCCTAGGCCGCAGGATTAACTATGCTCTGATACCATATTGTAAGGATCCAAATTCTACCCTTGAAAATTTTTCATTTATTTTAATCATTTCTTACATACAGTCGTCACCTTCATTGAAAACTCTCAAGTATCATTTTCGAAAATACTCTTTACCCTATTTTCTTATCATACAAATTTATGTTGCGGAAAAACATAATTCATTCAAATAACATTTACCACATACAACCAGTTATGGGTCTCCCAAGGTTATAAAGCCCATAACTACACATATCCGTATTGATCTAAACGGATTTACAGTCATCCCATAATACTATTAAATCAACTACAACGTCACTTAGCAATACAGACAAGCGAGTAATTAAACACAAAAGCTTCCTAATTGAGCTTCATCCTCAAAGTCCTTCATTTACCTACAATGGGATTATCATAAACGACACACAAAACAAAAGGGAGTAAGTCATTAGTTTAAAAACTAACATCACATGATAATCCACATTTCAAATACGATTAAACTTTAATATAAATTATAAACGCAATTACGTAAATGCAAACATTCATCTCTTCTTTCGTTCATTTCTACGTTATCCATATTCATCCTATAGAATACATATCCCATAATATATATTCTATAGCATGCATATTATGTTCATTCGAAGCATCGTTCTTCTCATTATTCATATCCACACTATAGTATATATATATCCCATACTATATATCTTATAGCATGTATATTACTTTTATCCTTAACGTCTTCATTTCCAACATTCATATTCACCCTATAGTATATATATCCCATAATATATATCCTATAGCATGCATATGACTTTCGCTCTTAACGTCCTTGTTTCTCATATGTCGTATTCATCATTAATCGTATTCACCGAGTTCTTTCACACTATAATCTCCTACCACCTCGGGTAGATCCAATTACATCTCCATACCACATCGGGTAGGTCTAGTTCACCATCCATACCACATCAGGCAGGTCTAGTTCATCATCCATACCACATCGGGCAGGTCTAGTTCATCATCCATACCACATCGGGCAGGTCTAGTTCATCATCCATACCACATCGGGCAGGTCTAGTTCATCATCCATACCACATCGGGCAGGTCTACTGTTATATTCCATACCACATCGGGTAGGTCTAGTTATACTCCATACCACATCGGGCAGGTCTAGTATTATATTCCATACCACATCGGGTAGGTCTAGTGTTATGCTCCATACCACATCGGGTAGGTCTAGTGTTATGCTCCATACCACATCGGGTAGGTCTAGTGTTATACTCCATACCACATCGGGTAGGTCTAGTTATACTCCATACCACATCGGGCAGGTCTAGTTATACTCCATACCACATCGGGCAGGTCTAGTAATACTCCATACCACATCGGGCAGGTCTAGTTATACTCCATACCACATCGGGTAGGTCTAGTATTATATTCCATACCACATCGGGTAGGTCTAGTGTTATGCTCCATACCACATCGGGTGGGTCTAGTGTTATGCTCCATACCACATCGGGTAGGTCTAGTGTTATACTCCATACCACATCGGGTAGGTCTAGTTCACAATTCTTCACTACCATTCCCGGTAGGATAACAATAACAGTCCACTACCACTCCGGGTAGGACACAACAACAGTCCGCTACCACTCCAGGTAGGACACGATAACAGTCCGCTACCATTTAAGGTAGGACACAATAACAGTCTACTACCACTCCGGGTAGGACACAACAAACAGTTCACTACCACTCCGGGTAGGACACAATAACAGTCAACCACTACCTCTTCGAGTAGGGTAACAACAATCAAACTTACAACACATTATCTCTTTCACATACCTCGTTCACATCAGTGAGTATGAATTAGAGCCACTTATCCCTTACCTCGGTGAGCGTTGGAGATCAATTCCGAGTAACTTTAAAAGTCTACTCCGCGATTTCCTCCAACCTTAGGATCTTTCCTCATTTCCACAATAACAACAATGTTAGTCATTTATTCCAAATATCACATAAACAACTTATTTTGCATCATTTAATCATACAAAATATTCATCATCAATATTCAACCATCTAAAACATGCATAACATCTCATATTTCAATATTTCCAAAACTACTTCAATACAAGTTTCTAAATATCAAAGCATACATGTTCATCTCATATAACAATATTAAAGCACTACTCATTATCCACATCTAACATTTCATCTCTTTCTCTTTATACTCATATTCTCATTTTGGGGTTTTTGGGGTGTTTTTCATGAATAACCCATAAAACTTTCCATTCATCAAATACCAACTCTAAACCAATAGTTTACAAGATAAAAACAACATAAAACGAACCATAACTCTAAAGGATGAGTTTCCATGGTTTCTCATGTTTTGAAAATGAATCCAACATACCCAAAACAAGTTAGAGAGGAAGAAGAAGAGTTAGTAACAAGAGGTTTACCTCTTCTCAAGCTCCAAGATGAGTCCTAAGGCTCCTTGCTCTTGAAAAGCTCTCCTCTCTCTCTTCTCTTCGAAGTTCTAACCCTAAAATGTGTTTAGGTTTCTGTTTTAAAGAGGTGTCGTCGGGTTGTAATCGATTACCAACATTGTGTAATCGATTACAACGTGAAAAATGCGCATATCTGATGCTTTTAATACGATGTAATCGATTACCACGAGTGTGTAATCGATTACCAGCAGAGTGTAATCAATTACCAGCAGAGTGTAATCGATTACCAGCAGAGTGTAATCGATTACCAGCAGAGTGTAATCGATTACCAGCAGAGTGTAATCGATTACCAGAATTGTGTAATCGATTACCAGCAGTGTGTAATCGATTACCAGAATTGTGTAATCGATTACACTGTGTCAGATGCACATATCTGATGCTTTTAATACGATGTAATCGATTACCAGCAGTGTGTAATCGATTACACTGTGTCAACAGCCCAAAATTGCCATTTCTCGCCCAGGCGAGACAACTCTCGCTCAAGCGAGACTTCCAGGACTGTTACTATAATTTTAAAGATTAAAATTTGGGGTGTTACAGAAGTCGTAACACTCTCCAACAAAACTTGGAGGTCTGTTTATGTTGGAGCCTTCTGCTAGGAATGATCTTGAGGCCATCTTTTAGTAGGATCAGATTTTGAGTGTTACTTTCTAAAAAATAGCTCTGGTGCCAATAGTAAGAATGAGATTGCAACTAAGAGGGAGGTGAATTAGTTGTTTTAAATAAATGGCCAATTTTTCTGCAATATCATAGTTAAAGTGCAACAGAAATATTATGCAGAAAAATATTGACTTGGAAGGATAGAAATATAACAAAGATAAGGAGAAGAGAATACACATGTGTTTTAAACTGGTTCACCTTCTTGTCCACCGAAGGCTACGTCTAGTACTTTTCACTCGCAAGAGATTCCTTCATTAAATATAATGACTTGCAAATACAATTATCTCACCCGAATCTCCTTGTACCTTACACACTCACTTATATCTAATCCATTGGAAAACCCTATTCCAAGTAACACCTTTGGTAAACACTATACCAAGTCACTCAACCCCTTTCTCTTCACACCCTTGTGAAAGAAGGTGAACTTTGCTAAAGTTAAAAATATACAAAATGGCTTGGATTGCCTTTACAAGTGTATGTAACAATTCTAGACTTGCAATCCAAAAACAACTCTTATTCTTTAGATTATAATGCTCTTTTAATTTGAAAAAATTTGGAATGCACTTAGAAGCAACTCTGAAATAACTTAGAAAGTTTGAGAGTATGTTGCTTGAAAAAGTGCATAAAATTCAGAAAGTGTGAGAGTTTTAAAGAGTGTTTGTAATCTGAGTTGTTGTTGTATGTGTTGTTGTTATGAGAGTGTTTCAATGCCTTTATTTAGGCTTCCAATCAACCATACCACCTCTAGGTAAGAGTAGGTTTCGTTTGGAATGAAACAAATCAGTTTTGAGTGAAACCTGTTCACTTTGAAATCTGAAAACTGATACAACAACTCTCATTAATCGATTACTGTAAGTGGGTAATCGATTACCAAACAATCCTGTTAACAGATTTTTCAAATTTCACATAGTGTAATCGATTACTGTATTTGAGTAATCAATTACTCAAAGGTACTGTCCAGCAACTTTGTGAAATTGTCTTAGTGTAATCGATTACACTTCTTTGAGTAATCGATTACCCTGTTTTCTAAAAATGGTCTGTTACTTCAAAGACAATAATGGATTACTCTTAGCTGTTAGAGGATGGATAACTCTTTTCTCACTCATGTAACTTGTTACTCAAGTATGGTAACCCGTTACATGTTGTTTTTGAAAATTATTTTTAATCACACTTAAATTTTTCTGATTTTCTTGAAAACAATTTTGAGCATTATTAACTAAGGTAATAAAGTAGTTTTAAGGATAGAAGTACCTAAAGACTTAGACTCTAAATCTTGAAGCTTTGTCTTCGATAGTCTTTGTAGGTCCTCTTCATTTCTTCTTTTTGTGATGTTGGTGTCTTCATCAAAACCATGCCAAGGTCAGGAGCAAGATCTTCTTCATAGTGTTAGGGTACCGGTCAATCACAGTATAACAGCTAGAGGGGGGTGAATAAGTGTAAGCGGTCAGTATGTCCGCTTTTCGAATTTATGCGCAGAGAATCAAGAATACAGAAATATTCAGTAATAATCGATTAAGTAAAAATACAATCGATTGTCTGAGACAATTTTAATCGATTAAAGGATTGTAATAATTGATTATCTGGAGCAGAAAAACCAGAAACAGCAGCTTTTAAAATATGGTTTCTAGGTAAACAAGCTATCCAAGAATCATGCAACTTCACACTATGATATCACAAACAGCACACAACAATTATACAAATATCAAAGACTCAATCTTTATGGATAAATATTCAATCTTTCAAGTTAAAGAATGCAAGATACTTAATATGCTTAAAACAGTAAAAGATAAGGGAAAGAGAAAGAAGATCAATAAATTTTATCCTTGTTTGTTCACCTGTCCATTGGCAAACTACATCCAGGCCTCCCCTTCTGATCTGGGAGATTTGCTTCACTATATTTGAAAATGTTCTTTACACACACACTTCCAAATTGAGCCTTTCCTACTTGCTATGCGAACCCTATTTCGCCAAGCCTTGACTTCCCTCCATTCGCAAACGGTTGCCAATCTTGCTACTTGATACGCCAAACAAGATACTCAATGAAGACTATATCCAACCAACCGCAACTAGCCGATATTACAACTTACAACCAAAATTACAAGAAAACAAGCTTTTTGCAAGAAACTCTTAAAGAAGAGTTCTTTGGCTTACACAAGCCACTAACAAACCAAAAGATGATTGACTCACACTCACTCACAGGGGTATGAGAAATCAAAGGATTGAAATAAGGATTGGTGCACTCAAACTTGCACAAATATGAAAAAGCTTTGTTTTTGCTAAACAAGAAACCATGAATGCTTTTCACAAAGCAAGGTTTTTCTCTCAAAGATTTCACTCTTCAGAACAAGATGAATATCTCACAAGGAACTTGGGATTTCGAAAATGAAAGCTCAAAATCAAGTTGTGAAAATTTTGAAAGTTTGTAAGTTGTTTAAATTGTGAGAGAAACTTTGTCATTTATAGTTTTCTAGTTTCAACAGATTTAATCGATTAAATGACCTCTTAATCGATTAACGGTTTGAAAATTAGTACATTTATGTTGAACATTATCGATTAACAGAAGACATAATCGATTATAACTGCCAAGAAACAACGACCAAAGCTATTGGAACTCTAATTAATCGATTAAAATAACTCTTAATAGATTAACGGGTTTGTGCAGTTAGATAATCGATTATAACACTGTTAGCATCAATTATAAGAAAAACTATAAGTTTTCTTGGTTAAGAGGTAACCCTCCAAAATAGATAGGTACTTAGTATGATGCATGATTTTCATAGAAAATATAATTTTGATGCAACCTACTAAAGTGAAGAATGATGACTCTCAAAAACGGATTTTTGGGCAATCTTACGAGCGCGTGAGACGATCATCATTTTTGGTTACCTTGTAAGACTGAGATTACAACTAAGAGGGGGGTGAATTAGTTGTTGTAATAAGTATGACCAATTTTTCTGCAATATCAAAGTTAATGTGCAGCGGAAATATTATACAGAAAAATATTGACTAGGAATGATAGAAATTTAACAATGAGAAGGGAAAGAGAGTACACAAGTGTTTTATACTGGTTCACCTTCTTGTCCACCGAAGGCTACGTCCAGTTAAGGGTGGAAACAGGCCAGGCCGCCTACCAGGGGCCTATTACCTGGATATAACAAGCCAGGTCAGGCCAGACATTTTTAGTAAATAGGTCAGGCTTAGTCTTGTCCAAAAGCCTATTTAACCGAAATAGGTCAGGCTCAGGCCTTTTAAAAAACCTATTAAGCCTAACAGGCCGACCTATTAATGTTATTATATATTTATAAATTATTTTTATAACATGTTCTAAAAACTAAATAATAAAAAAATTATGTAAATCCACTAGGATTTAGAGATTAAGTTATTTAATAATTGGATATTTAATTGTTGAGACTTGAGCTTAAGTACATAACCAAAATCATGTTAAATATTAGAACAATATCATGTTTTGCTATGATATTAAAAGACATTGTTTTGTATATTCTAACCTCAAAGGCACTACAAATCCTTCGAATACATTACGTAACATTGGAAGATGATGGAAATAATTTTGATAACAATGTAAAAAAATTCACACTAATTACTATAATTATAATAAATTTTTCTAGTTTGTACAAAAAAAATTTAATTTTTTTTTTACCTTAACAGACCTTTAAACAGGCTAACAGGCCAGGCCATGCTTTTAAACAGGCCAGGCCTAGGCTTTGAAATTTTTTTTAAACAGGCTAACAGGTCAGGCCCAGGCTTCTATGTGTTA